ATTCATTTACCACTTATTTTGTACAGTATTTTTTTTTGTCTTGATGTTACTTTTGATGTTAGTTTTATATTGTCTTAAAGGGAAAGGGATATTTGCATTTCTGCGGAAGAGAAGAGAGAATGGTAAAATTGCCAGGGAGGGGAAAAAAGAAGGGATTAATTTACCCTGTTTTGAGCTGGTTTTAAGTTTTTAATTTGATGTGGCTTGCAATAAGTAATTGTTCTTTTAGTTTTGTGTTAGATACACCCGATGTAAAAATCCAAATTACTATTATATTATTATTACAGAAAAAAACCCAGAAAAACAGTAAAGTGATATATAAACCAAAATTAATATAAAAATATGTAAATACAATATAATATTGACAGAAGTGATAAGGAAATATCCTTTGGTTGAATCCAGGCCTGAGAAGAAACACTTTATATAATGTCATGGTGTACAACTGAACATGAGAATGGTTGATAAGATACAGATTATTTACTATTTTACTATTTAGATTCAAATTAGCTACTACTTTCTGTTGGGAGAATAACAAACACCCCCTTCCTCCTCAGCTATTAAATATTTAGAAACCATAATGCCTTAGAAAAATAAATTTTAAACATAGCAACATAGCAAGTTTTTTTTTTCTTACAAAGCCTGAAATAAGAATGGAAGTGTAGTTTGTACAAATAAATTTATTAATATTAAGTATTACTGTGAATTTTTTTTTTATATATAATCTGTTATACGATTATTATTGAATTATATTTAATTATTACTGGTAATAATGAGCCTGATGCAAAAATGATTTACCTTCTGTGTCCGGCTCAACCATGATGTCTACCTGCTGGGTTTCGTTGAGCAGGCGCAGACATTCATCTTCAGGCCGTGCCTCCTCTTCAACACTCTCATGGGTCTTTCGATGTGCTATGTGGCAAATCAGCCATCGCATATGTTGCCACTCTGCTGCAATCGGTAGCAAGTCATCCCTACCGACCCCACTACGAACCGTAGAGCGGACTTTCTTGAGGTGTCTACATTGCATAAAATAATATTTATATACAGTACAGTACTATGTGAATTACATCAATTAAATTGTTTTTGTGTTTGCCGAATAATAATAGTAATTTTACTAATGATAATAAGAAAAATACAATAACTGACTATAACAATAATATGGTATTAAAAAGCATCAAAGAGGGATTTGAACTCCAACATAAAGTTCGAATCAACCGTTTTGCTGGACTTTCCTATTTCACCATATTTTATTCCACTTGGATAGAGAGATGAGCGATTTTTATTTATTTTTCTTATAAACACCATATAAATATTTTTAAAAAAGTAACTGTTACCTTGCAAATGCTGTTCGCCTGACATTATAAAGACGCTGGCATTCTTCGACGCTCAGCTCCATTTCTTTAGCCACGGCTTCCCAGGCATTCTTTTTCTCTCTCTTTCCATGTTTGTATGCGGCAACATGTTTGTCATATAAACACCTGTATAATTGAACTGTCTCCATCAATTTTACTTCTGCAGAGGAAGGCATTTTTCTTGAAAATGAAGTTCACTGCAGTTTTTAGTGTTTGCCAGACCCACGCCCATACACCCATTCCCGTACACATTGCTACGTACTGTACACGGATTGGACAAAAACAATAAGAAAATAGTGTGCTACCAGTGGGGAACTTAGAATTGTTTATCTCCGTATCTTGCTGTTGTGACTTTGTCGGACAGTACCGCCGAATTAACTATGACTTTGCTGGACCCGATAATTAGCGCGGTAAAATATCAAAGAGATGCAATTCTTGGTAATGTTGATCCTGATGTTTTAATCCGCAAGTCATCAGTTGGGCTTATACTGTTAAATTTATTTTGATCTCACTTTTTAAAATTTTAATTCTGAATTGGACTACGGTAACAGAAAAAAGTAGTAGACATAAGTTAAAAAGAAGAATACTCTGTAAATTCAAATTAAACAGGCAGTTTAAACGATCAATAATGGTTAATTCTGTCAATTGCATTTAACATGATGAGGTCTATCATATTATTAAGAACACACTACAGAAAAGTACAATCGAAAATCATAGGCCCATTATAGTCATTTTATTTCTTTTTTCTTTTATTTTGCATCACCATTAAAGTGCATACAAGATAAATTATATGTTGAAATGTTGAGGAAGGAAACATTCTTAAACCAGAGGATCTACTAATAGTCTTAAATAAAACAAAGACGGAAAACTCGGAGAGGGAGAAATTTTGAGATTTAACGTTTCAATCTATTTTATCATTATCAAGAATACTGATGAGAAAATCTCGCCAATCAAAATGAGGTAATTAGGATGAGGTGTGTCTTACATAAAGTAGATCACTTCTTTTTTACGAATGAACAACAAATGTATGAAAAGCCTGGGAATGCTAGCTGGATGAAAGTCTCATGAAATGAAATAAACAATAAGTTAATCCAGTGAAATATACATTAGGAAATGCTTAAATAAATGTCCTAATTACCCCTGCCTTACTTAATTAAACATTTTAAAAATACAAAGGCCAAAGTTCAAACAAATTTTTAAAAAATGAAAAATAAACTGAAAAGCAAAACACAAGAGCATTAATTAAAAGAAAATAGTCTAGTACCGGCGCACAATTGAATAGTTTACTCTGTTCTGGCATTGGCTATATCATTGTCAGTGGACAGTGAATTGTAATGCTCATTGGCTACAGTACCACAACAACCCAGATTCACATTTCGTCTTTGCTGGACCCGATAATTAGCGCGGTAAAACATCAAAGAGATGCGGATCTTATTTTGGTTCAACTATTAAGTCATTGTTTTGGATTTGAAGCAACTGAAAATCATAGCTCATGTATAATAGGTTAAAATTATGTTAAACTTTGCAAGAAGTAAACTGAAGTTCAAAAAGAATTATAAGGCCTAGGCCTGCTCTAAAAATAAAATTTCGCTGTCCATTCAGATTTGAAGGAAATTTGCAGGGCGAGGCGCCGTTATTACTAGACCTACTAGCAAAAAAAAAAAAAAAAAAGAACCTACAGTACAAATGAAAACATCGTATGGACCTAGCCCTATGTATAATACAGTCCTAGCCCTATGTATTATACAAGTGTCCTTTTTTCCAACCGTTTATTAGCCTAGATTATAACTAGAACGACTCAAACTTGATGAAATATCAATTTTAAGTCAGTTGTGAGGCCAGATTCATCGAAACTTGCAACAATTTTATAAGTGTGTGGTAAATATATACCGAAATACATATACCATTTTCAATTTTCGCTTACGTTTCTTATGAAAAGTTGACTTCAAGTCAACTTTTCATAAGAATCGTTAGAAACGTAACGTAAGCGAGTTCATTCAAGAATATTCGACAAAAACGCGGTTTCCTGTCGATTTGTGATAAATCGACGCATCAGACAGATATTCAACTCGTCGGTTTCCTGTCGAGCATTGCTTTACGACGATTTTGCTTTGCGTTACGTCGATTTCACAACGTATCAGTCGCAATCGGTTTCCTGTCAAATCGTATTTTGTTACGTCAAAACGACGTAGTCGTAAGTAAATCAGCCCTCTTACGTCGACAGGAAACCAGGCTTTACTCTCCATAACACAGCACCCCTAGTTCCGTCACCTCTGGTTTAGTTTATCACTAGTTTATCACGTATGCGTAATCCAAGATTTAGCTGCCGAATCCCGCCGAGTGATGAACGGTGAATTATTATATTATCTCTTATGGTAGCAACAGAGCAACTGGGTAGCAACAGGTTGTGCTGCCACCAAGAGTTTAGTTTTCGGGAACCTTATAAGGCATGGAGGAATAACCTCCATGTTATAAGATAGGGAACTTGAAACGGAAGAGCATAAACGGGAATAAGAAATTTCCTCGGCTACAGCGGATTGGTTCTCGAACGAGATAACCATAACGAAAGCTCTCGATTGTTTGTAAAACGTGGTGGTTGTAATATTTTTATCTTTCAAACTTTGTCAAAAAGCGGGGCAATTAGGCGTCCTGGTTCTAGTGGGTACAAAGGCCCAGGAAAAAATGGCCCCAAAAGACAGGTATTTAAAAATTGCCCCATGGGGAAAATGTAGTAATATATATATTTTTTTAATCTTCCAACTACTAAAATGCTGCAAAATGGCAAAAATTGAATCAATAAATCAACATAAATCATGATTTTTTTTTAAAGTCAAAATAATTTAGTTTTTAAAAGAATCAAATATCAAATAAGTTGCCATTTATATTACTTTTTTTCAGTAACTATATAGAAATTAATAACATAGTTCATTCATTGAACAAAAAAAGATATACATTTTTAACTTTTAAATATAAAACTCATAATGTGAATAATTTGTTTGGGTTGTTTTTAAATTAATAATTTAATCAATCAATATAATTATTATGTTTGTTTTTCAAGTAAAATAATTTAATCAATCGATAGATTTTGTTGTTTTTTAAACAAATTTATTTATTTTTGAAGAGATGATTCTATCCTTTAAAAATTTGTTAATAAAAATTACCAAAATGTTATTAGATCTTTATAGTAACAGGTTTTTAGTTAAATTCCTACAAAAATGGATTTTAAAACTCATTTAACAGTCTTTTTTATTTTATATTTTAACAAAATGTTACTATACTAGATCTTAAATTTATATTTTAACTTACTGTATATTAACAAATAAATCTAGATTAAGTTGGTAGTTTACAGTTATTTAAAAAAAAGGTGTTATAATTTCACTTAAACAAATTAAACTAATACTAATATAAGTCAATAAGGTATGTATTTAGTTTATAATTTTATTACTTAAAATATAAATTAAAACTTTATTAATAAACAATGAAGGTACTCTGTATCTATTTTCTAAAATAACTAAATTTTTGCTATTTTGCAGATTTAAGTACAGAAATCAGTTTTATTACTAATTTTTATCATTGAGGGCCATTTTTACCTACCTGTCATTTGGCGTAATTTTTACCGGGGCAATTTTCTCCGGGGCCTTTTTTTCAGAGGCCAATTTACGTATACATTCCCCCGTAGTATGAGTCGTCTATCCTACACAAATCAGGCAAATTCTGGCATAGTACACCCACTCACACACACGCAAACACAGTCCTAGCCTTGTGGTATCTGTTTTTATGATGTTGTAGGTCGTACACTATTAATTGAATCGCGCTCGAACCCCTTCCCCACTTCCCCCCACACCCTCGCGGTCAGTACTAACCTCAATTATTTTGTTGCCGTAAAACTTAAAGTAAGTAGATATCTTTTGAGCCCATTTTTCAGTCTCTGTATTCCAGCAATCTAGCTTTTCTTCACCATATTCAATATTACTTTTGAAGATGTTTAGGCCGTTGCAATCTACTACCGGCAATGTACTGGTGCAATGTTTTGCTGACAGCATAGTTGTTTGACCTTAGAAATGATTGGCAAAATCAGTCAGTAAATATAGTAAATTTAATGTGAATTCAATAAAAGTCTACAGGACACCACGATCACTGACTTGGTTCTTTAATTCCATACCCCGTTTACAGTGAAGCCACTATAATATATAGCTGAGCTCTCATCAGCTTCAATACATTAACACAGCATAGTAAATTTAAACACAAACAAACACCCCAGCTACATGTAACAACAGAATAGCATAAAACTTATTGCAATTAGTATCATTAAATCATCGAATACTAAGAAAGAATACTCGGAAAGAATAAAAATAATATCTCAATCATTACAGTATTAGGTATGCAAGTATTAGGTATACAATACAGCCAAAACTGCAATGCTAATACATCAAAACAATACCGCAATTACAATCAAGGGGACCATCTCAATCACACACTAGTAGTATTATCTAGTGCATTTAACTAATTATAAACGTTGTCTTGAGGCGTATAACATGTTCAAAACTTTTATATCAATCAGCGTCTCCAACAAGCGTAGCCCTAGTTACCCACACTTTGCGGTATAGGTATTACTGTATTATCCTCTCTGACCTTATAATAACGATTGTTGCAAACATTGTAAATGTGGGATCAGTGGAGTAACGAAGGGGCCGAAGCTCGTTTTGTGATGTATTTTAATGTCTTTTGTGGCACAGATTAGTTCTTTAACCCTTTGAAGTCGAGGTCCGTATACTATACGGACCAATTTTCTGTCGCAGGAAGCGCGCTCCGTATACAGTACGGAGTGACGTTTAACGCTGCTACCCTCTATTTAATGGGTCACTTAGGGGATTTCCCTATTGTTGCCGCAATTCAAAATGGTCAAAAGAAAGCAGTCATTTAGCGTCAGTCACGCGCTTACGGTTATTTTAGCAGACGATGAGAGTGGGGATGAAAATATCGATCTCGGTGAAGATATATATTATTCTGCAGTAAGTAATGACGATTCAGGTGATGATGACACCGCTACTAGTAGTGTATTAACTGACATAAGCCCTAGGTTTAGCTCTAAGCACGAGGAGGAAGTGCTTAGTTTATGGGTAAAAAAATACCCCTTTAGGCCCCTGAATTGCAATTTTTTGGGCACTTGTTTATTTAACGTTATTTTTCATAGTTCGTTCTATTAAACAGTGTATGCACAAATGACTTTGAAAGGCAATTACTCAAAATCCTGTTTATCTTGACTCTAAGAGTACTGTACTTTCACTTTCCAATAACTTAGGCTTGAAATGAATTTGAATGAATGACCTCTCATTTTAAAGATCACATACTCAGGTATCTGAAAATACCATTAACTTGAATTTCAATTTTTGCTACATCTTAGCCATTTTGCCCCAACATGCCCCATATGTTCTTTACTGTACGGAAGAATGCTGTTTAAGGATTTTTTTGTGCTCGGACAGAGTTTGAGGCAAACGTCAACGAAATTTTATAATTCCAACGAATTGAAACGATCTACTCCTTTTTCTATATTTTCCTCAAGTTTTTAAATATTCAAAAATCTGTATCTCATTAACCGCTTTTTATCTCATTGACCGAGTTTTTTGTTGAAATTTAAGAATTATAAAACGTCTGTATTTCTATTGGCAATCATGTATTTTTTACTTTAATTTAGTCTTTTTTAATTGTGTGTTTTAAAAATACAATTCGGAAATACAGAAATGAATGTAAAATTTTACTGTACGTTTTTGTTTGTCTTGTGTGTGGTCATCCCACTTTTATTTCATATAATCAATCATTTTACAAAATCAAACATAAATCTTAACTACAGATACGATATTGCAACTTGCAATATTTCTTTGCCGTAATAATTTCAATTTCAAGCGGTTTTTTTTAAATTTTTATTGTATTTTAAAAGCCTATTCAATTAGATATAACCTATCTCATCCAATGTTACGCTGTCTTAAGCAGTATTATGTTTTAAGTTTATGCAGTCCACCCAATAGTGCGAATCATTTCCTTAGTCATCATGCGCAGTAAATAATCGCATTTTAGGCGAATTCGTCTGAGGAAAAAAACAACGGCCTACCCCATTAATCCATGGAACTGTTTGCCTTTTTGGGAA